TTCTCCTCCTATGAGGTTTAATGGGGCCGGTTCTCCTCCTCTGAGGTTTAATGGTGCCGGTTCTCCTCCTATGAGGTTTAAAGGGGCCGGTTCTCCTCCTATGAGGTTTAATGGGGCTGGTTATCCTCCTATGAGGTTTAATGGGGCTGGTTCTCCTCCTCTGAGGTTTAATGGGGCTGGTTCTCCTCCTCTGAGGTTTAATGGTGCCGGTTCTCCTCCTCTGAGGTTTAATGGGGCTGGTTCTCCTCCTATGAGGTTTAATAGGGCTGGTTCTCCTCCTCTGAGGTTTAATGGGGCTGGTTCTCCTCCTCTGAGGTTTAATGGGGCCGGTTCTCCTCCTCTGAGGTTTAATGGTGCCGGTTCTCCTCCTCTGAGGTTTAATGGTGCCGGTTCTCCTCCTATGAGGTTTAAAGGGGCCGGTTCTCCTCCTCTGAGGTTTAATGGTGCCGGTTCTCCTCCTATGAGGTTTAAAGGGGCCGGTTCTCCTCCTATGAGGTTTAATGGGGCCGGTTCTCCTCCTCTGAGGTTTAATGGTGCCGGTTCTCCTCCTATGAGGTTTAAAGGGGCCGGTTCTCCTCCTATGAGGTTTAATGGGGCTGGTTATCCTCCTATGAGGTTTAATGGGGCTGGTTCTCCTCCTATGAGGTTTAAAGGGGCTGGTTCTCCTCCTCTGAGGTTTAATGGTGCCAGTGCTCCTCCTCTGAGGTGGTGGAGGAGGTGGAGGACTATAGATACTTGGGAGTGATAATTGACAATAGACTGGACTGGAGGTCTAACTCTGAGGCTGTGTACAAGAAGGGGATGAGCAGACTCTATTTCTTGAGGAAGCTGAGATCCTTCAATGTGTGCAGCAAGATGTTTGAGATCTTTTACCAGTCTGTTGTTGCCAGCACCATTTTCTTTGCTGCTGTGTGTTGGGGCAGCAGCATCAGAGCCAGCGACACCAACAGACTTGATAAAATCATCAGGAGGGCTGGTTCTGTACTTGGACTCAGGCTGGAGTCTTTTGAGACTGTGGTGGAGAGGAGAACGCTGAATAAACTCTTACCCATCATTGACAATGATCAGCACCCTCTCCACCACACAGTGGTCAGACAGCGGAGCACCTTTTCTCACAGGCTGCTCCAGCTCCGCTGTCGAAGGGACAGATACAGGAAATCTTTCCTACCATATGCCATCACATTGTACAATAAAAAATAAACTCTTGTTTCAGCATACAGTAACCAGCACTGTACTGTACTGCACTCCATATTTTAATACTTATTTATAATCTGTTCACTGCACCCTTATTATGTAAATTACCCTTATAATGTAAATACGCGTGGATGTTATGTTATTTTTACTTTTTTCTTATCTTATTGTGTTGTGACTGTCACTATGTGTAAAGCTGCTGCTACACTGCAATTTCCCAGCTTGGGATAAATAAAGTACATCTATCTATCTAAAGGGGCCGGTTCTCCTCCTCTGAGGTTTAATGGGGCTGGTTCTCCTCCTCTGAGGTTTAATGGGGCCGGTTCTCCTCCTCTGAGGTTTAATGGTGCCGGTTCTCCTCCTATGAGGTTTAATGGTGCCGGTTCTCCTCCTATGAGGTTTAAAGGGGCCGGTTCTCCTCCTCTGAGGTTTAATGGGGCCGGTTCTCCTCCTCTGAGGTTTAATGGGGCTGGTTCTCCTCCTATGAGGTTTAATGGGGCTGGTTCTCCTCCTATGAGGTTTAAAGGGGCCGGTTCTCCTCCTCTGAGGTTTAATGGGGCCGGTTCTCCTCCTCTGAGGTTTAATGGGGCTGGTTCTCCTCCTCTGAGGTTTAATGGGGCCGGTTCTCCTCCTCTGAGGTTTAATGGGGCCGGTTCTCCTCCTATGAGGTTTAATGGGGCTGGTTCTCCTCCTCTGAGGTTTAATGGGGCCGGTTCTCCTCCTCTGAGGTTTAATGGTGCCGGTTCTCCTCCTCTGAGGTTTAATGGTGCTGGTTCTCCTCCTATGAGGTTTAATGGGGCTGGTTCTCCTCCTTTGAGGTTTAAAGGGGCTGGTTCTCCTCCTCTGAGGTTTAATGGGGCCGGTTCTCCTCCTCTGAGGTTTAATGGTGCCGGTTCTCCTCCTCTGAGGTTTAATGGTGCTGGTTATCCTCCTTTGAGGTTTAATGGGGCTGGTTCTCCTCCTATGAGGTTTAATGGTGCCGGTTCTCCTCCTATGAGGTTTAATGGGGCTGGTTCTCCTCCTCTGAGGTTTAATGGGGCTGGTTCTCCTCCTCTGAGGTTTAATGGTGCCGGTGCTCCTCCTCTGAGGTTTAATGGGGCCAGTTCTCCTCCTCTGAGGTTTAATGGGGCCAGTTCTCCTCCTCTGAGGTTTAATGGGGCCAGTTCTCCTCCTCTGAGGTTTAATGGGGCCGGTTCTCCTCCTATGAGGTTTAAAGGGGCCGGTTCTCCTCCTATGAGGTTTAAAGGGGCTGGTTCTCCTCCTCTGAGGTTTAAAGGGGCTGGTTCTCCTCCTATGAGGTTTAATGGGGCTGGTTCTCCTCCTATGAGGTTTAAAGGGGCTGGTTCTCCTCCTCTGAGGTTTAATGGGGCTGGTTCTCCTCCTCTGAGGTTTAATGGGGCCGGTTCTCCTCCTCTGAGGTTTAATGGTGCCGGTTCTCCTCCTATGAGGTTTAATGGGGCTGGTTCTCCTCCTATGAGGTTTAAAGGGGCTGGTTATCCTCCTATGAGGTTTAAAGGGGCCGGTTCTCCTCCTATGAGGTTTAAAGGGGCCGGTTCTCCTCCTCTGAGGTTTAATGGGGCCGGTTCTCCTCCTCTGAGGTTTAATGGTGCCGGTTCTCCTCCTATGAGGTTTAATGGGGCTGGTTCTCCTCCTATGAGGTTTAAAGGGGCTGGTTATCCTCCTATGAGGTTTAAAGGGGCCGGTTCTCCTCCTATGAGGTTTAATGGGGCCGGTTCTCCTCCTATGAGGTTTAAAGGGGCTGGTTCTCCTCCTCTGAGGTTTAATGGGGCTGGTTCTCCTCCTCTGAGGTTTAATGGGGCCGGTTCTCCTCCTCTGAGGTTTAAAGGGGCTGGTTATCCTCCTCTGAGGTTTAATGGGGCCGGTTCTCCTCCTATGAGGTTTAAAGGGGCTGGTTATCCTCCTCTGAGGTTTAAAGGGGCTGGTTATCCTCCTCTGAGGTTTAATGGGGCTGGTTCTCCTCCTATGAGGTTTAATGGGGCTGGTTCTCCTCCTATGAGGTTTAAAGGGGCCGGTTCTCCTCCTATGAGGTTTAAAGGGGTCGGTTCTCCTCCTCTGAGGTTTAATGGGGCTGGTTCTCCTCCTCTGAGGTTTAATGGGGCTGGTTCTCCTCCTCTGAGGTTTAATGGGGCCGGTTCTCCTCCTATGAGGTTTAAAGGGGCTGGTTCTCCTCCTCTGAGGTTTAAAGGGGCTGGTTCTCCTCCTCTGAGGTTTAATGGGGCTGGTTCTCCTCCTATGAGGTTTAATAGGGCTGGTTCTCCTCCTATGAGGTTTAAAGGGGCTGGTTATCCTCCTCTGAGGTTTAATGGGGCCGGTTCTCCTCCTATGAGGTTTAAAGGGGCTGGTTCTCCTCCTATGAGGTTTAATGGGGCTGTCACCAGTCCCTCTCTGCATTTAACCCCTCCCCTTGGGGAGCAGTGGGCTGCCATTGTGCGGCGCCCGGGGAGCAGGGTGGGGTTGAGGGTCTGGTTCAGGGACCCAGAGTGGCAGTCTGTGGGAGTGCGGCCTCTAGTGGAGCTCTCATCCTTCCCACCATCAGGACTAAAGTTTTAAAACAAAGACTAAAAGCTGCATTCTACATCTAAATGCAGAAAATATTGTTTCAGTCTGAATTTCAACATTTTCTGGGGGGGACCCCCCGGACCCCCTACTTCAGACAGAGACACCCTGTGGAATATTTCTAGATAAAAACCTGACTGAGGGACTCATCTCGGTAGCTAACGGTAGCCATGCTACCTTTTGCGAGCACATGGCCACACCGTTACTGAATTCTCCAAATTAGCCAATCCTGCTTTTCTCTTCTAAATACCCAACCTCCATCTGTAGACATCAGGCCCTCCTACCATCCTCATGGAGTCACTTTCTAACCGTTTGTGCAGACATATGCACATTGGTGGCCTGCTGGAGGTCATTCTGCTGATCTGTGTGTTTAATGGCGTCCACAGTCAGAATGCTGACCTTCATCCAGCGTCTGAATGCGTTCAGCTCCATCGACAGCAAGCCGCCAGATGACCTCAGTAAGTGGGGGCTGTGGGGGCAGGACCTTCAGACTGGAGCCCAGTTTCCTGAAAAACTACTGAAGCTGCAGGATGAAGGCAGCGCCTCTACGAGCTGAGGTCAACGTTCCCCTGAGCGGAGTGCAGCCCTGAGGGGAGTGCGACCCCTGAGCGGAGTGCAGCCCTGAGGGGAGTGCAGCCCTGAGCGGAGTGCAGCCCTGAGGGGAGTGCAGCCCTGAGCGGAGTGCAGCCCTGAGGGGAGTGCAGCCCTGAGGGGAGTGCGACCCCTGAGGGGAGTGCAGCCCTGAGGGGAGTGCGACCCCTGAGCGGAGTGCAGCCCTGAGGGGAGTGCGACCCCTGAGCGGAGTGCAGCCCTGAGGGGAGTGCGGCCCCTGAGCGGAGTGCGGCCCTGAGGGGAGTGCGGCCCCTGAGCGGAGTGCGGCCCTGAGGGGAGTGCGGCCCCTGAGCAGAGTGCAGCCCTGAGGGGAGCGGCCCCTGAGCAGAGTGCAGCCCTGAGGGGAGCGGCCCCTGAGCCTGAGGGGAGTACGTCGCCTGAGGGGAGTGCGCCGCTTAAGTGGAGTGCGGCCCCTAAGGGGTGCGGCCCTGGAGGGGAGTGCGCCGTCTGAGGGGAGTGCGGCCCCTGAGCCTGAGGGGAGTGCGGCCCTGGAGGGGAGTGCGCTGCCTGAGGGGAGTGCGGCCCTGAGGGGAGCAGCTCCTGAGGGGAGTGCGGCCCCTGAGCCTGAGGGGAGTGTGGCCCCTGAGGGGACTGCGGCCCCTAGGGACTGTGTGACGTACCTTCTGGTTAGCTTGGATGTTAGCTTGTAGAACAGGTTGGTGGAGCCCCTGGCCTGGCCCAGGGGGGCGGCGTCGTGTGAGAGGCTGGGGGAGGCGGGCGGCCCATTGTAGGTGGCGGTGCGTCGCTCTCTGAGCTGCCCTCCGTGGAAGGTGCTGCGGCTCGCCGTCCTGCGGGAGAATCGCAGCCGGTCGGGGGGCGTGGCTCCGCTGCTGACGCTGTGAGTAGATGCTCCGCCAACCGAGCGCTTGGTGGGGGTGCCGGACGAGCTGATGGAGGAGCTAGAAGTTAGGTGTGAGGGTGGGAGTGGTGCCGGGGACCAGCGGGGGGCGCCCTACCTGTTCTCTTTGCCATTGTGGACGGTGGAGGAGGACGTGCAGTCTGAGGAGCTGCAAACGTATGTGTTCCTCCTGGTCATGCTCGACGCCGCCGTCTGAAACACAGAGATAGACTGTGATTGGCTACAGGAAGCTCCGCCCATCAAGCCATGGCTTCCTGCTAACACACTCACAGTGGCTGCAGCAGGTGTGTTCCTGCGCTCAGGGATGTCTCCTACGTTGGGGTTGTTGGCGTTGCCGAGAAACGGACTGCCCGCCTCTCCGGCACCGGGCTTCCTGTTCTGGGCTCCCACCTCCTGCTTTGGCTCCGCCTCCACCGCAGCCTGGCCCCTCCGGGAAGCAGCAGTGGTGGAGGAGACGGGACTCACTGAGGAGGAGGAGAGGAACATTAGTGCCTAAGGCGGCTCCAGGTTCTGGTTCTGGTTCTGGTCGGTACCTTGGTCGCTGTGCCTCCTATGCCTGGAAGAGGAGGAGGAGGTGCGCTGGTTGAGGAGGTGGGCTGGAGAATGGCTGCTGCTGGAAGGATGAGGTTTAAGGAGGGAGGTGGAGGCCAGATCCATCTGAGAGACAAAGACATGCATCACTTCCTGTCCAGAGGTGGAGTTTGATCTGTTACCATAGTAACCACTCACCTCTCCAGCCTTGCGTCCGAGCAGCAGGTAGGTGGCTGTGATGTCATCGTACTTCATCTTGGAGAGCGAATCTGTGATCTTCTCTCTGGAGTAACCCATCTGGACCATGAGGTCTGAGGAAGAGGAGGAGAAGGAGGATGATGAAAAGGGTCCCAGCGTTCGTTCTCGCGCTCCTCGCTCTTCTTCTGTGGAAGGGGCGGGGCATATCTGCGTTCACTGCAACACGCGCAGACCACCTGGTTTCTGAGTATAAGTCAGCCTTTAACCAACCATCTCAATGACTTCTACTGTCGTTTCCACAGGAACCCCCCCCCCATGACACCTCCTCCACCTCAGCTGGGAACCCCCCCACCACCCCCACAGTGACCCAGTGGATGCTAAAACCATTCCTTTATGGGACATTTTGTTAGCTTATTAACCAATAGGATGTGTTGAACTATTTTCACAGCTTTTATTCTAAAATGTAAAGATTAGCTGTTTTATAAACTGCAACCTAAAACTGACTAAGGTTCAATCTAAGATGGCTGCCAGAAACGGCACTGCACCATCATCACCATCATCATCAGCTCCACGTACCGATCCTGCTCTGGTCTTTGATGTCCAGCTCCGGCTCCACGTACGGCTGCAGCTGAGCTTCATCTCCAGCGTTGATCCAGCGCTCCTTCATTATTTGCTAGATGGAAACAATAAAGACCAGAACCTTCTGAGGAGGTCTGAGTTCTGGGGACCAAAGAGCTCCATGGTAACCATCAGGAGAAACGCCCACTATCACACAGACGCTGAGGTTCTGATGGTGGGTCCAGAGCTGGAGATGGACCCACAGAACCAGAAACCCCAGAACCGCAAATATAGAGCAGATACAGACTAAAACCAGCTGACATGACCAGAACTCCCAGTACAGGTGGAGCCAGTCACATGGGAGGAGGGAGGGGAGGATGGAAAGAAAGGAAGATATAGAAATAAAGTGAATAGAATAGTGTTATGCAGGGTGTGGGCGTGTCCAGGAAGGGAACCCAGTGGTCTAGAAAAGCCTGCTGATGTTCTGACCTCCAGCGTTCCTCTCTTTCCAGGGTTCAGCACCAGGAAGCGTTTCAGCAGGTTTTCACAGTCGGTCGACATGTAGAAGGGGATCCGGTATTTGCCTCGTAGAACTCGCTCTCTGAGCTCCTGCAGATAGAAACACAGCGCCGCCATCCTGACGTCCTCCTCTGATCCTCTACCAGCTGCTGAAGCCCCGTCACACCCGCACGGTTTAGACCAGCGATGCCTGACGAACGCAAAACCTGGCTAAAACGCCGCATACGTTATGGGTACGCTGGAACACGCTAACATACGGCGAGTACGTCCCGCCGTATGCCGGCGTCTGCCGTCCGTTGGCTGTCAGTTCCAGGTCAGTTATCTGATGGTGTCGGTTGCTCATCAGTCGTGGCATCTAGCTGATCCTAAACCTCTGACTAACTTCTGCCTAACTTATCCAGAACTTCTCTCCAACATGTCAGCGTATCTGCCGTGTTCCAGACGAGCGCTGAACGTGTTTCTAACTTCCAGCTACTGTATAATGGCGTATTGGCAGCGTTTTGGTATAAAGGGGGTTCACAGGAGGAAACCGTCAGTTCTCCTCCAGACTTCCTCCCCATCATAGGGTGAGCCAGAAGGTGAGTGATGGATCCTCCCTGCGTTCACGCCCACCACCAACACACTTCCTAGCAGACATGACGCTCAATCTGCTGACGCCAGAAACCTGCTTTCTTTCTTTTTATTTTTTTTTTGGCGGGCGGTAAACAGCAGCTAGGTTAATACCGCCATCAAAGATCCTCTGGGTACATCTCAGATTGCGGGACGGCGGGCAGAGGCTGGATAGATGGTCCAGGTGTGACGGGGCCCTCAGCTGATAACAAGAGGCAGAAACATCTGGAGCAGGCAGAGACTCACCTTCAGGTTCTGTCCATCGAATGGCAGAGATCCACTGACCAGAGTGTAGAGGATGACTCCCAGGCTCCACACGTCCACCTCTGGTCCATCATACTTCTTACCCTGAACACAGCAGCAGACGGACCTCAGCTTCTAAAGCTACAGCTGATGGTTGGAGCTGCAACCAACCACTCACTATAATGACTAAACTTTCCACTAGTTTTCCCCACTGATCATTAAAGTCGCAGGGAAGCGGCTGTTCTAACCGTTGCGTTTCTGAATTATCCCAGTGGTGCCCGACTTTACACCAGTGAATAAAGTGAATGTGATTGGTCGATTATCAAGGGGGCGGGAGTGCTGTGGTGGAAAGTTCAGAAGCCGTGTGGCCGGTTTGTGGGAAGCATCATGCTAACCAGTTAGCAACTTAGTGCTAGCAGGTTCCCAATGGGAAATTCCATTGGGACCAAGTAGCACTAAATTGGTGACTTAGAAACGACGCTGTCAAGGAACGCTATGGACAGCGGAAACATGCAAGAGGAGGAGAGTTTAGTGTCGGAGGTCGTGGATGAGTCTCCTCCGTCATCCATTTTTTATTTAGAGGAGGAAAGCGGGGACGAAGATGTTGTGGAAGAGGACGCCAGGGCGGCAGAAGCTTGGTTTGGTGTAGAAGGCTTCCAGCCGTACATGTTTGAGCCCTTGCCTCGCAACGCTGCCAGTTCTGTTAGCTCTACGCCTGCCGAAGACACAGACGTCCATCCCCGTGAACACTGGGACGCAACTCAATGGGAAAGGAAAGGATTCTGATTTCAACCGTTGCGTATATTAGCTGCGACATATGAATCAAGATGCTATGACCGAAAACATTTGATTGTCAGATAACCGTTGATCTATGATTGGATGAATTTAGGTGTTCAGGCTGACGTAGAACTAACTGGCCTGAAGAAGATAACGAATAAAACACAGATTTTAAGACAGGATTTTTTTTAGATAGTAATTTTCTAAATTTTTGGACAATATGGTCTGATAAAGAGAACATTTATATACATGTTTAAGCCAGAAGGATTTGACATTTCTTCCCCACGACTTTAACAATGAATGTCCAGAAAATTGGGGTTTGGTGGAGCAGCCTCTGGATGGAGATGCCAAGCTAAAACAGTGACAGTGGTACGGTGTCTCTCCGCTAAACCGACTGTCTCAGTCTGCTGCGTCTTAAAGAACACAGAGTGTTTATAACCTTGTTCAGCGTTCATTCTGCAGATGAAAGATTAATAAACATCCAGGAGTTCAACTCAAAAGTTAAATAAAGCTGGTAGAATAGATGGATATGTAGGAACAGAGAGCAGCTCTGATCATTATCGCTGCACTAAAACATTTTAATGAACTTTAGAGAAACAGTTAATAAAAACCCAGATTAACTAGAAATGTTGAAATATTAGATTATATATTCTGGTTCTTGCAGTTTTTACCCCAAACCTTAAAAACTCTTTCTATTCCCTTCCAGCCGCAGCAGAGGCCTTCCAGCAGGGATTCCCAGCGCTGGAGGTCTGCAGCTCCCAACAAGAACTGCTGAATTTAGTTGGATTATAATCCAGATGAACGGATGAACAGAGGATGTCTGGAGGTGGAACATTTTCACCAGTAACCATAAATAAGCAGAATAAAACAGGACGGCTGAACCTTGATCTTTATATTTTCACGTTGTCAATCTTCCAAAACTAAAACAAATAATTTGAGATTATATTGTTTAATCAATTAATCCAGGGATTATTTCTGGATGATAATCTGATCCCCAGTAATGATAAACTTAAGGCTCATTTCCCCAAAGATCAAACAAATCTACAGTCAATTATTCTGATACTTGGATGGGAAAACAAACGTCTTCAAGCTTGGAAACAAACTGGGAATCCGCACCAGGAAACAGTCCAGTTCGTTTGGAGGCGGAGCTTTAAAGCCGTTACCGCTCAGTGAAAACTGGGAGGGAAATATCCCATGGCAGCCATGTTGTCCTGCTCCTCCAGCAGCCCTTTATGGGACGCCTACACTGCAGCTGTTCCTTCTAATCTGATGGATTTTCTCCTTTATGATGGTTTTTATAAACCGCAAAGTTTCAGGCTGATGTCAGAGTCTCCCGGACAGGAAGCGGCTCGCTTTGGGAGCTGTTACCAGTACGGTCCCAGTCCCCCCACTGCTCTAACAGACTAATGATGCTGGATCCGGATACCTGGAAGAGTTCTGGAGCAGCGTACGGAGGAGACCCGCAGAACGTGTCCAGCTTTCCTCCCAGCGTGAACTCGTTACTGAAGCCAAAATCTGCAATCTTGATGTTCATGTCGGCATCCAGAAGGAGGTTCTCCGCCTGCAGGAAGACAGGAGGAGGAAGAGGAGGAATGATCTTCCTCTCACAGTTAGAACTGGGGAAAAATCTATTTCATCAGTTTTGGATCAATTCCTTTCTATATTTTTTTTAAATCAATGCGTAGGGAAGGAGATGGATTAGTTTCATAGTGGCGTTCATGTTAAAATGAGCGTATCAAACCGTCTGGAACCATTCTGGATCTAAAACAACTAAAGATAACTTCCTGGATGAAACCAGTCAGGTGGAGGTCAGAGAGTTTAGAAACACAACAATCCCAGAAATCACTTCACAAGATATCAGGCTATGCTAACATCCAACAGCTAACCCTCCGGATCTAAACACATGAACCGGAGCGACTGGTTAGCATCACTAGCTGATTCACTAGCAGGTCATCAGGATAACAGACGCCATCGACTTCTGTGGGTAAAGTGACACAAGGTGCCCTGAAAACAACGTGGGCTACATTAATAATTGGCAATCCTTTTGGGGAAAGCCTGGTCTGATTCGGAGAGACGGCATCCATCCCACTTTGGATGGTGCAGCTCTTCTTTCTAGGAATCTGGCCACATTTATTAGTCCTCCAAAACCCTGACCACCCAGGGTGCAGACCAGGAAGCAGAGTTGTAGTTTAACACACATCTCTGCAGCTTCTCTACTGTTACCCACTCTTTACTCCATCCAGACAGTGTCTTGCCCACGACCAAAATCTAATAAATTAGCAAAGATTCCCAAAGGAGTAAATCATGATAATCTAATTAAAATCAAAATAACTCCAATTGGGGAAAAAGTTAAAACAATTAAATGCGGTCTGTTTAACATAAGATCGCTTTCCTCTAAAAGTCTACTAGTTAATGACTTGATTTGTGATAATCACATTGACTTGTTTTGCCTTACAGAAACCTGGCTGCAGCAAGAGGATTATGTGAGCATAAATGAGGCAACTCCTTCAAGCTATTTAAATTTTCACATCCCCAGAAGTTCTGGGCGAGGAGGAGGAGTAGCAACAATCTTCCAGTCTGACTTACTGATTACTCCCAAAACAATTAATACCTACAACTCTTTTGAACATTTAACCCTTAATTTCCCTGATCCAAATTTCAAGGCAAGAAAACCTCTTCTTTTTGTAACTTTGTATCGTCCACCAGGTCCTTACTCTGAATTTTTAGATGAGTTTTCAGAGTTCCTTTCTGATTTGGTATTAAATACTGACAGGGTCATCATAGTGGGAGATTTTAACATCCATGCTGACATTGAAGGCGATAGCTTAAGAGCAGCCTTTAATGCTATTTTAGACACTATTGGCTTTGTTCAAAATGTAAATTTAGCCCCAAACATTTAATCTTCTCTTTGGATTTTGGGTGTGACAAACGGCATAAAAAATGTGAAGAAATAAAAAATTTTTCCTCAAAACCCCTGTCCTCTCTAAACCACTTTCAAATAACCTTCGGAAATTATTTTAAACCCAGATTTCCCCCCCTCCCCCCAAAAAAAGGGTTTTAACTTTTTTAGTAGATCTTTTATCAGTATGCATTTAAAAAATTTTTAAAAAGAATCTGCTTCACTTTCTCTCTGCTTTTTCCTTGTTTTGAGCAGTGTTTCAGGTCCCAAAAAGGCTTCCTTTTTTTCCCCCCTTCCCGGGAATGATTTTGTTGAGGGGGGTTTGCTATTTTTTCCTTATTCCCCTTGGGAAAACGCAGCCCCTTTTGAAAAATAAAACCGTTAAAAATAGAAAGCTTGCCCCTTTTGGTTTTTTTTGCAGAGCGGGTTTATTTTTAAAAGAAAAATGCTGGGAAACTGGAGGGGAAAATACGCCCCCACGGGCCCTGGGGGAGTCCTTCCTAGTCGGGGAAAAAATGGTTTATTTGGCGGGTTAAGAGGTTTGTGGGAAAGAGCAGCATACTTCCCCTCTTTAAATTTAGAGGAGAATAAGAATAATCCTAGATTTCTTTTTAAAAACGGGTTCCCAAAAATTTTAAAAACCCAGGGGCCCATAGCCCCGTTAAACCCTCCATTCCACCTGCTCTTAGCAGAAAGTTTAAAATGGGTTCTTTATAAATAAGATTAAATCTTATTAAAAATAAGACCCATAAGCACTCCTTTTTCCCGCGTTTGGACTGAGGTAGTCATGGAATCTAAACCGGGGTTTAAAGACTGCTTTGATCCATTTTAACTCTCAAATTGGGAAAAATTTTAGGTTTAAACTAAGCCTTTTGGAAAAAGTTGATCCATTTTCCAACCAGGTTATTTTTTCCCCTCCTCCTCCTTTTTAGAGGGTGGTTAAAACTATCCCCTTTTAAACAGGGATATGCCCCCAAAAAATTTTTAAGATTGCTGTTTTTTAAAAACCTCTGTTTTGCCGTCTCTTGCCCCAGATGATTTGGGTCAATTATAGACCTATACCCCAATTTCCCTTTTCTTACCCAAAAATTTCTTGAGAAAGTAGTTCCCAAAAACAATGTGTCGTTCACTTTCCACCATAATGAACTTTTTGAAGATTTTTCATTTCTGGTTTTAGGGGTCATCATAGCACTAAAACCCAGCTCGGGGTGAAAGTCACTAAAATGAAATTCTCATGGTTCAGATAATGGACTTGTATCTGTGTCTTTTCCTGTTGGATTTAGTGCTGTTTTAAAAACGGGTTGCCATAATATTTTTTAAAAAGGACTTGAATATTTTTTTTAATTAAAGGAACAGCATAATTTTTTTTAAAAACTTATCTATCGACAATTTTCCGGGTTTGTTCATTTTAAATTGTTAAAAATTTTAAACCCAGCTAAAAGGTTACCTTTTGGGGGCCACGGGCCCAGTGCTAGGCCCAATTCTCTTCCCCTTTATCCCTTTGCCCCCAATTTTGGTTATAAATTCACCATTGGGATTAAATTTTCCCCCTGTTTTCTGATGATACCCCGCTATATCTGTCTTTTAAAAGAAAGCTAACCCTTTACATAGTTTACAGGAAAAGTCTAAAGGGACAAAAAAAAACCTGGGGGACTAATTTCTGCTCCTGAATCCCAGACAAAACAAAAATTTAATTTTTTTGGGCCCAGGTCCCCCTGAAAAAGAACTGATTACCCAAAGCCCACTTTTTTGGGAAATGGGTTTAAAACTGATTTCAGATAAAAAAAGTAAAAAATCTTGGGTGTTTTTTTTTGTAAAGGGCCGGGGGTCATTTAAATCCCTTTTTCAAAGAGGTTTTTCTAGAATTTCCTTTTTTCATCTGAGGAACATTGAAAAAAATTAGAAATATCCTGTCCAGGGGGTGATGCTGAAGGGAAAAAAGTCCATGATTTTTTTTACTTCAAAGGGGGTATTGTTTAAATTTTACTTTCAGGGAAATCCCCCAAACCCGTAGTTAAAAAACCTTCACTGATCCCAAAAAACTGCAGGGCCCCCAAATTTTTAATGGAAAATTAAAAAGAGGATCCATCCTCCTATTCCTGGGTTCTCTTCCCTTGGCTTCCCGTTAAAATTTCCCCCAAAAGAAATTTTAAAAACCCCTTTTCAAAAATATTACCTTTAAATGGGCCCAAACCCATTTTTATATCAGAGATCTGATTGTTCCTTATGTTTTTTAAACAGGCACCCCTTTGCCCTCAATCTGGAAAGGGTTTACCCAGTGGTTCCCAGAACTTTCTAAAAAATAAATTTGGGGGGCAGATCTTTTAAATTTTTCAGGCTCCTCTCCTGTGGAACCAAAATACCAGTTTTAGTCCGTGAGGCAGCACCCGGGTTTTCTTTTAAAGGAAAAGGGTTAAAACTTTTTTTTTTTGATTAAAGCTTTATAGGGTTTGGGGGGGTCAGGTTTTCCAGCTATCTCTATAGTTTTTGCTGCTATAAATTTTGACTTTTGGAGGGCTTGGGCCCCCCATTTCATCATTCTGCTTCCTTTTTCTCTCTGTTCCCTAATTTTGCAAATTGTTAGTTAAACTCTAACCTTTTTGCTCTCCCCTGCTTTTCCCCAAAAGTTTTCCTGTTGTTTTCCCGTTTGGCTTGGAAATTCATTTCCTGGAAAAAAAAAATCACTGTGCTGCTTCTATCAACAACCCCTTTTAAATTAAAAATGGGGACGGCCTGTTTTCCAGTGTGGTCCCGTTTTTCTGACCCCTTTCCCGGGGGGGAAAGTGCTCTCTTCTTCCTCCCGCATTTGGGAAACTGTTGGGGCCCGTTTTGCGGGTGTGTGTTTCCTGGACGGGGCCCCCCCTTTTTTCCGCTGCTTTTTCTTGTTTTGGGTTCTGTCTTTCCCTTTAACCCCAGTTTGGGCCCCGGCAGAAAGGCCCCTCACACTGAGCCTGGTTCTGCCTTTCAGGTTTTTTTTTCCTGTTAAAAGGGAAATTTTTCCTCTCCATGTTGGGTTCAAAACATGCTTAGGGTGGGGGAATTTTATTTTTTAAATCAATGAGTTTAATTTCCCAAACAACCCGGTTTTTTGGGGTAGAAAAATTTGTATCAATTTTTGGGCTGTATATCCCGGTTGAAATGTAAAAAAAGCCTTGAGATGACATGTGTTGGAATTTGGCGCAAAAAAATAAAAATGAAAGGAAAATTGGGAAATTAAAAATTAAAAATTTCCGGCCCGCTCTGTGGGGAAAGGGGGTTTTCCCGCGGGGCGTTGTTTTGCTGAACCAAACCATGCTTGGGGATCCCAAAGGTCCCCGTGCTGGGCAATAAAAAAGCATTTAAACAGACAGTCAGCATAGCTGGTGGGCACGTCCCCTGCCCCCGCAGTCGTTAAAAGGATGCCGCCTTCCCCCGTCGTGGGCTCTGGTCTAAGAACCCCAGAGGTTACCTCCGCTGGGAGGATAGCTGAAGGTTTAAAGGAAGCCCCTAAAACCAAAAAGAGGGCTGACCAGCAAACACCAAAAGGGCCCCCTGGTCCCCCCCCCCCTGCCCCTGCGATTTTTTGGCCCCCTCCAAGATTAGAGGAGGAAGAGGGAAAGGGGTTCCCAAAAAACTATTAAAAACCCCCCAAAGTCCCCAAAATTTTCCCCATTTTTCACCCCCCACGGGGGGCCCCCTTTTGGGGGTTTTGGCCCCCCCCCCCCCATTTATCAAACT